TTCTCCAACACTGCTAGAATGTTTTATCGTTGACCACTTTTTACACTATTTCTCTCCAGAATAAGAAGCAAAAAAACAAGTTATGAGCAATAAAATTGCAAACTGGCTGGGCCAGTGTTGCCACCTTGTGGGCAAACCAAATAATTATCGCAAACAAAGGACACAGAGAAACGATATTGTCGGAATGATATGGAACGATATTCCGGACAATTTTCAAAAGGAATAGCAAATTGTATTTTCAATTGCGTTTTCTCTGTTTGTTTGTTTAAGTGCATCAAGTGGAGTGCAAACGGTAAAAGGTCTTGAGGCAGGTGTGACACGCTCTCTATTATGGATTAAAAGTGTAAGTGAGTGTAAACAGTGAGAGATGCTGAGACAGGTGAAAGCGTTTGGTTAATAGTGAATATTGACCTATTGTGCGTACCGTTGTGGCTCCCGCTGTTAGCAGGGGATAATCGCTACATTTGGGGTAAAAAAGACATAATTATGTATTGTGCCAAGAAGGTTGCACTGTCTGTTCGTTCACACAGGTACGAAACTGATTGGTAGCTGCCTTTAGCGGAGCCTTTACCGATTACCTCCATTGATCAGAGCATTCGGCACTGTCGTCTGTGAGTGACGTCACCTCCCAATACAAACACGCCCCCTAGTATAGTCCCGCCCCTGACGATGATTGGCAGCTTTCCATGTAGACATCGGAAATTCAAATGCAAAAGGAATTGCGATTCCATTTGAGTTTTGGCAGGTTACATGCGCGACGCAGCGAGAGTGAAAAAGCAGACGTGGTAATTAATATTGCTATTTAAATATGACAGGCTCGTAACTCCTAAGACATGGGAAATACAGTTGCAAATGGACTTTGCTTTTTCATTTGAAATTTGGCAGTCACTGTGCGTTCGCGAAAGCGAAAATGCAAACGGTACTGCAGGAATTGCAATTGCATTTGGATTGTGTCACAATTTATGCGTCCACATATTGAAAACGCAATTGAAAATACAATTTGCTATTCCTTTTGAAAATTGTCCGGAATATCGTTCCATAGAATGACTTTCAGAGCATTTCATTCAGATGACAAACTATAAAAACATTGAAAGCCAATCAGAATCCATCCTGCTTTGAAGAGCGCAAGTATTTAAAGTGACACTGCAGTGCGTGCTTATAATAAACAGAAAGTTATTGTACACTACTGTGGACACTAATATAGTTATCGTTCTTGGTGTAAGTGCCTTAAGAAGATCGTAAAGTGGTCATGGATTTGTGGCCAACGAGGCCTAAGAAGTGAACAGAATTGATGAGTTCTTACCTTCTCCGGTAATGCTTCATATTCCCCTGCACGGACAGAGGGAAGTGACCTTCTGCTCTCTTTTCTAGCCGCCTCTCCGTAGAGATAGACTAAAAGACCAAGACAAGAAACAAAGGAGAATGGAGGTCAAAACTGAAGCAATTCTCAACTGATTCAGCTAACAAACAGCATGACCTTTGCTTCTACAAACACACCAGGCACATTGAGCATGTCTGACAATCTCTGGCCAAATTCATTGGCACACTGTACACACTCCTCCATGCTGACGTTCTGCACCGGTATGAAGGGACACACATCCATCGCACCCATCCGAGGGTGTTCACCTGTTCAAAAACATAATGTTTTACAAACTAAACTCATGTGAAGTAAGATATGTCTACATCATCTACTCCCTCCACAGCTGTACCTGAGTGTTTGGTCATGTCTATGAGTTTAAACGCGACACGGGCGGCATTCAGCGCCCCCTCGATGACAGCCATGGGTGGGCCCACAAAAGTGTACACCGTCCTGTTTGTTGAAGACCCTGGGTCGACGTCCAGCAAACTGCAGCCCTCTGTGGCAGAGATGGCATCGGCTATGGCGTCAATGACCTGGATATTATATATTGGTCAAAATATCGCAAAACACTCAAAAATTGTACATCATCGTACGCAGGATCTAAAAAGTATAATAAATAAATAAATAAATAATTGAATTGTAATTTTACTTTGAGTGTTAATATAAAGAAATATAAATCAACAGTTTATTTTTATTTTTTATTTTTTCTTAAGTGTGCAGTTTATATTTGTAAAAATAAATGCAATTAATTCACTTGAGAAAATTTCAGTAAAAATACATTTCAAAACAATTCATGCAATGCAGTTTTTAAAGTTTACTTGGCCTTCATTTATAAACAATAGGCCTACTAAACAATAACTTTTCATAAAATAATTGTATCTGGTGATTAAAGTCTCACAGTTACCCTAAAGCTAAGTGTTTGTTTCACTAAAAGGAACCGACTCATTCCCTCAGGAATCGGAATACGCTGCTCATGCTGTGAATTAAAGGGATAGTTCACCCAAAAATGAAAATTCTGTCATTAATTACTGTCATGTCGTTCAAAACCTGTAAGACCTTCGTTCATCTTCGGAAACACAAATTAAGATATTTTTTTCTCTAACCCTCCTATAGACAGCAAGGATTCTTACACAATCAAGGCTCAGAAACGTAGCAAGGAGATCGTTAAAATAGTCCATGTGACATCAGTGGTTCATCCGTAATTTTACGAAGCTACGAGAATACTTTTTGTGCGCAAAGGAAATGACGTATGTGATGCACTCCAAAATGGCGTAATAGTGTGACGCGGAGGAAACAAATTGTTGAATAAAGTCGTTATTTTTGTTTTCTTCGTGCACAAAAAGTATTCTTGTAGCTTTGTAAAATTACGGTTGAACCACTGATGTCACATGGACCATTTTAACGATCTCCTTGCTACGTTTCTGAGCCTTGATCGTGTGAGGATCCTTGCCGTCTATGGGAGGGTCAGTGAGCTCTCTGAATGCATCAAAAATATCTTAATTTTTGTTCTGAAGATAAACAAAGGACTTACAGGTTTGGAATGACATGAGGATGAGTAAACAATGACAGAATTTGCATTTTTGGGTGAACTATCCCTTTAAGAAGAACTGACTCATGATAGTGATTCATTCGGGAAACTACAGGGTCGCACTATCTGATTCACTAAAAAGAACAGGCGCATTCGTTCGGAAATCTGTGTTTCTGATTCACAAAAAGAACATTTGTCAAAGAACTAGTCATTCGTTCTGTGGGCTAATCAGGATACACTAGTTGCGTTTTTTGTTTTGGATTTACTAAAAAAGATCAAACAGAGTAATTTGTTCAGGGACCGGCTCATTAGAGTGATTCGTTCAGGAACCGGACTATGATTTTGATTCACAAAAAGAACCGACACCGGTCGCGCTGTTTGCTCTTCATTCAGTAAAAAGAATCAACTCATTAGAGTCGTTCAGTAATCAGACTACAGTGATCGCGCCTTTTGAAACTCTAAAGAACTGGTGTACACGAATAATTCGTTCAGTAATCGGATTACTTATTCCGCTGAGTGTCTTTAATTTACAAAGAGAACCAATTCGAGTCATTATGCATACTGTCATCTACGGTAATCATACGGTAAACTGTAGACTGTATGTTTTTGATTCACTAACTCAAACGCGCCCATTATTAACTTGAATGTGCGAGGCTTCCGGTGTCATTCGATTCTAGTTATTTTAGTTGTACAAAACCAGTAGCCTATGTTATGTTTGCAAACTGGTATTTATTATCATATTTTAATTTAGTAGTGTAAACACACTGGTTTGTAGAGCAATTGACAGATAAGTGGTTACATTAGCAGTCTTGCAGCTTTGTTGAAAAAAACTGAGATGTCTATGAGTATTTCAGTACAGTGTTGAAGTCCACATTTAACAGAACCGAATGACTTTTCTTAATGAAACTGGTCTGTGTGTTTACCTTACCTCCTTGTTACGCCCCTCTGAGAAATTTGGTACACATTCCACCAGCTTAGCCATGACTGTGAGAAAACACAAACTTTCCTCACACACACTTGTCTACTGAATACGCTGGTTCCCAAACGTGGAACCATATAAAGCGTCGGCGAACATGCCTTTTGAATAATTAACCTGTCCTGTGGACTGGATTTAGGTCATTTGGCAATGATTCTCCTATCTTCATAGATAACCACTTTTGGGGCAATAGGGTCTTCATTGTTCAGACTTTGGGAAACCCTCCCAAAAAAGTCAATACATTGGCATTTTTAAACCAGCTTCTGACTATGGCTTGGTTAAAAATTGAGGCAAGAACATGACATTTGGTCTTTCAGTATGAAGCAACTAATACAAATAAAACTTGATAACACAGACGGTTTAATAGTTGACTCTTGAAAACCACTCAAACCGTTGCATCATGTCCAGAAAACAGGGGCTGTGATGTCTGGTTAATGAATGATCCAGAAAGGAGCCAAAGAGCTGGAAGAGGAGGACAATTGACCCCTTCTCCATGTTTTTGGATGGGACACAAATACCCTCTTGTCAAAGTAACACTGACATTATGCAAGAATGAGAAGTGTAAAGTTCAACAACAAAAAAAACCCAACAACAGTTGCTTATGTGGCCTGTGTTCACATGCTTTTCTAAAATAATAAAACAAAAATCTATCTCCTTTCAATAATATTACAATAATAATATTCTTTTTAATTGTAATAATATAATAATAATAATAATAATTTTTATTTTTAATAATATTTAATAATAATAATATACTATTCTTTATTATTTTCTTTCTATCCATCCATCCATCCATCCAATCTATCCATTACAGTAATTAATAATAATATTACAGTAATTCTAGTTATTATTATTATTATTATTATTATTATTATTATTACAGTACATTTTATTCATAAACAGCGTGAGCTTGGGGGCAGGCACGCTAGACATCCATCCAATCCATCCATCCAATCTATCAATTACAGTAATTAATAATAATATTACAGTAATTCTAGTTATTATTATTATTATTATTATTATTATTATTACAGTACATTTTATTCATAAACAGCGTGAGCTTGGGGGCAGCAATGCACGCTAGATCCGTTATTACCCGCCATAAACTTACGTCGAAGAAGAAAAGCCTACCGGAAGAGAACCGTAGAAGAAGAAGAAGCAGCAGCGGAAGGCGGTTTTCTCTTAGCTTGTTTGCTCATGTAAACCGATTTATTTCTCTTTGTTTTAACAACTACAGCTCACTTTTACTCTGGAGATCACAATAAAGTAATAGGGAGGATGCTGGCTACAGGAGCGGTGAGTTTTTGCGTGGTTTTGGGCGCTTTACGCTTGTTTATGCTAGGGCCTCGTAGAGCTGACGGCTAAAGCTAATGCAGTCAGTTACTATGGTGATATATTAAACCTTATACGCTGCTTTGTATTAGGATATGATTATGTATCTTGCGTAGTGCGAGTTAATATATTTATTTGAGTATCTTATGTTTGAAATAAGAGTGTTAAGAAATGAAGGTGAAAAATTAGTTTTTCCACGTGTAACGTTACTGTTTGTAAACATGCGTTGTTATTAGTTATGAATGTGTGATTAATAATTGTATACTAATTAACTATACTAAAGAAACTAATTATACAGAATATGAGTAGTCTGATTTTGTTGCGGTTTCTTGTGGAAAAAGTTGTATAATCCAGAATTTTTAGAATTGCTGTAGTTTATAGAACATTTTTGTACAAGCTTATAAGAAATAAACAGAAAATAAACGTAAACATTTTAAGAATGATTAAATGGAATTATAAAGGAAGACAAACATGTAATCAATTAATTATATAAAATAAGTGTTTCAATTAAGGTGCAATTGAAGAGAATGCACAAAACATACATTTGTAGTAATAACAATTAATAAATATTAGTTCTAATATACATCAATTGATGAGTAAACTCTGTCCTGTAGACTGTAACCACGGCGGGTCTGACGCAGGTGGACCGTGAGAAGATCTATCAATGGATCAATGAGCTCTCCAGCCCCGATTTCTGCCCGAGTCCCGTCGGATTGCTTCGGCTGTGGGGATGAAGACGACAACTCCCATGATTCCACACTCAGTCACGGCGTCATCAATCTACGCCTTTGTTTCTTTGTTTGTTTTGAATACGTGCGCTCTTGCGGTGAAAACTTACATATTGTGCCTTTAATGGATTTTTTTCAATTCGTAAATTCAGCCAAATATTTTTGAATGAAAATGAATGACATTTGGCAGTAAAATAATAATACAAACAAAACAAAATGATCAAAACTAATGAATTAACAATTAATGAAAACAGAGTATAACAATTTCCACTCAATGATAGAAAATTACAAATATTTGTAAAAAAAAAAAAAAAAGAACTCAAAGTTATTTGTACAAAATGATCAAAACTAATGAATTAACAATTAATGAAAACAGAGTATAACAATTTCCACTCAATGATAGAAAATTACAAAAATTTGTAAAAAAAAAAAAAAAAGAACTCAAAGTTATTTGTATCTGCCTTTTTTATTGTTTTAACTGATTTGTTTCAGTTTATAAATTTGATCTAATTTTTTATTTTTTTGGAAATGAATGACGTTTGACAGTAAAACAGTTCTTTAAAATATTCATATATTTTAAATTTTAGAAAGTGAAAATAATGTGTAAATATGATTGTAATTATAATACATCATATGTGCCAATTTTTAGAATATTATCATTTTTTAAATTTTGAAGTATATTCGTAAGTAATAAAAATAAAATTTAAAATTTAGCAATTGATTATACAAAAATAAAGCTTTTAAATAAATGGTAATTTTTATTATAGAAAGTAATTTGTAACTGTTTTTATGGTTTTAACAGATTTTTGAATTTATAAATTGTCAAACCTTTTTTATGGGATGAAAATGAATTACATTTGACAGTAAAAGAATTCAAAATTGTCATTCACATTAACTCAAATATTAGAAAAAGTATAATGGGAAAAAAAATAATACATACAATAAATAATAATATTAACAATAATAATAATAATAATAACAATAAAACTTTCAAATCCCAGATTTGATATAAAAAAAGTGTTTTTAATGTTTATTTTATTTTCACAGGAGATTGTGAACATCTACCCATCCATAAACCCCCCGACACTGACAGCACATCAGTCTAATCGAGTGTGTAACGCTTTAGCACTGCTGCAGTGTGTGGCCTCCCATGTAGAGACACGGTAACTCACTTCCTGTACACACAGGAAATGACACACTATTATTAATCCTGTGCCGCGCTGACGGTTTTCCCCTTTTTTTGCCTCTCACCCTCAGCTCTGCTTTCCTGGCAGCTCACATCCCTCTGTTTCTGTATCCCTTCCTGCACACGGTCAGTAAAACTCGACCCTTCGAATACCTGCGGCTCACAAGTCTGGGCGTTATTGGTAAGAAAAGCGGCTAATACAGAAAAAATATTGAACATTGTTTTAGTGTGTATTGTAATGTATTTGTCTGATAGGCGCACTGGTGAAAACGGATGAGCAGGAGGTGATCAACTTCCTGTTGACCACAGAAATCATTCCTCTCTGTCTGCGCATCATGGAGTCCGGCAGCGAGCTCTCCAAAACGGTTCGCTTACAAAAATATCACCAAATAACATCTATTATGTATAATTCTGAGTGTAATTGGACATTCAGAAGGATGGATGTGTGTGTTTCTCTTTCAGGTGGCCACATTTATACTGCAGAAGATCCTCCTGGATGACACGGGTCTTGCGTATATCTGCCAGACCTACGAACGCTTTTCACATGTTGCCATGATACTGGTGATTCATTAATATTCATCTTATTCATAATTCTTCTTATGCTTAACATTTGTTACTGATAGACAGAGTTGTTGGACACTTAAACATATAGTAAATACATATATTTATTAATATATTTAATTCTATATTTACATTGTTTCATATATTTATATATAATATACTTATATTTAACTTTATTTAATAATAATAATACAAATAATATACTATTATAAATAAATATTAAATACAAATACAGTATAAATTTGCAACTGCATTTTTTTTAATGAAAAGGAATACATTTGATGGAAATAATTTGAACATAATCAAACATGCCAGTCTTAAATTTAAATATTACACAAATTGAGGGGCAAATGTAGTAATAATGGTAATATTCATATGTAATGACTCAATGTGTCATTTTGGAGAACAAAAACAAATGAAAACTTTTCAAATAAAGTAATGAAAACATGGTATAACATTTTTGCATTTGTTGATACAAAATAAAATTGTTTAATACAATTATTAAAGAGATACAAAATGTATAAATTAAACATTTTTAATTGCATTCTTTTTTTGGATGAAAATGAATGATATTTGAAGGTAAAATGTTTTGAAAAGAATTTTTCAGGTACTCAGATATCAAATTTAAATAAGAAAAAATTTGAGAAAAGTAATAAGTTATGGTATTTACATGTAACTATGAAAGTGTCATTTTGCAGAAAAAAAAAAAAAAACTGATGAATTAAGTAATGAAAATAATGTAAAAATGTGCATTTAATTATACCAAACAAAATCAAATAAATGCAAATATTAATAAAAACTGATATTTTTTAATCTATAAAATGATTTGTAACTGCATTTATTGGTTTAACTTCACACACACATTATTTATTTGTTTTTTGTGCTTTTTGTCTTGCAGGGGAAGATGGTTCTTCAGTTGTCAAAGGAGCCCTCGGCTCGCCTGCTGAAGCATGTCGTGCGCTGTTATTTACGACTTTCTGACAACTCCAGGTATTCTTTTTTTTTCGCCAATATTTTCCCTGCTTTTGGAGTTCCTTGCTCATTGTTGGCCTGTAGGAGGTGTGCAAAATGTTGCAGTTTGGCAAAGATTAGAATCCTGTTTGTGTTGCTGAATCATTTCACTTCAATCAGTGTGATTGATCAATCAAAATAAGGAAGATCAGAAATCATATTTAAACATATAAATCATATTTTGTGTCTCTCAGGGCGAGAGAAGCTCTGCGTCAGTGCCTGCCCGACCAGCTGAAGGACACCACGTTTGCTCAAGTGCTAAAGGACGACTCCACCACCAAACGCTGGCTCGCTCAGCTCGTCAAAAACCTACAGGAAGGGCAGGTCACGGACCCCCGGGGCATCCCCTTACCTCCTCAGTAACACACACTCACACTCATCCCAAACCCTCCAGGACGGCCAGCAACACATCAGACTGTGTCACATACAAGGGCACTTAATATTTTTTTGCCAAGAAGCTCAGAAACGGTGCTCAGCATTCACGGTTTGTTTCGAGATATTAAAAATTGACTTTGGACTCTGCTGGACTGAGGAAGAGTCAGTCTCATCCATTATTAGTGTTTTTTTCTTTTTCCTCTACGCCTTTTTGATGGAATCGAGAGGAATTGAAAGACTGTTTTGTCTGTATTTTTCCATCACAAAAATGTGTAATTTTGAATGCTGTTAAATAAACAGTGTCATGCCATTGGAAATGTCAAGTGAAATTGCCGTCTGCTGTGTTGTCTTTCTGATCTTAAGGAGGAATTAGGATATTTCAGGCTAATTTTAAATTACAATTAAAGACCTTATTCAGAATAGGCTTTATGAAATGATGTGAATGAGACTGAGGATGTGAAAAGATCGAGATATAGTTTGTTCAATATATTAATAGCAATATAATAATAATTACGGTATGGTAAAATATATATATATATATATATATGTACACGAGCACACACACACACACACACTATTAAGCCCCGTTCACACCAAGAATGATAACTATAAAGATATTAGCGTCCACACCAGCGAACTATATCGTCTGTAAGCGCACGCTCGCCTGCGGCTTTAAATTCTCCAGCTCGTGACAGCAGGATGGATTCTGATTGGGTGTCAATTAGGGCTGCACGATAAATCGCATGCGAT